ATAGATAGATAGATAGATAGATAGATAGATAGATAGATAGATAGATAGATAGATAGATAGATAGATAGATAGATAGATAGATAGATAGATAGATAATTAAGAACCACACTCCATTCCAGTAAGTGGCGGTAATGCTACTTAAAGTTTGTTGCCAACCGCCATAAAACTCCACAAGAAGAAGAAGAAGAAGAAGAAGAAAATAAAACGCTTTTCAAGTGACGTGCTTTTATGATCGTTAAAGACATCAATTAAGCAATAAACGGACAAATAAATGCAAAACAAACTTTTAAATGAAATAAAAAGTTTACATTTATATACATAAATATTCATTGGTGCTATTAATTATATTACTGACGGTTTAAATATTATTTGGTGCTACAGTCCGGGCTTCTATTCCAAACAAGACTGCACATCAAAAGTAAATATTATATGGTAAATTATTTGTCCACTCATTTCTAAAATAGAAACCAACCAAAATGTGTGGACTGTCATGCTTCAAAATCCTTACCAAAACAAAGATCTCATGTCTAATAAACGCCATTTCATGTCTCAATTTGATGTAGGCCTATTGTGTGATTTAAATTGATTATCTTTTATACTATTAAGAAAGGCCTCACTGATTTTTACTCATCCACGATGGGAGGATGCAACATACTCCTGCTTTTATATGTCCACAAAGATCCGCCCAGAAAAATAAACGTTATACAGTTTCTTTTATTGAAAAAAACGAAATACTTCTTTACAAACACAATCTAGTCTACAGATGAATATAAAGCACTAATTCCAAACTTGAATATGCTTTTTTCTAAAGAAACAATAGTTGAAATGAACCTCTTTAGCCGGGCTATGTCCGGCCCCTGATGAGCTGCTCAGAGTCCAGGTGGGTCAATCACAAAGTGGTTTTAAATCCACCTGGAGCTGATCAGGGTGTAACGGTGCCCAGACACAATGGAGAAAGCTGCTATTGTAAAAGGTAAGAGGGTTAGTGTTTATCTGGAAATAGACTTTAATTTCAAGTGAATGAAAATGTGCAATTCTTAAGCTGTTGACCCTTTTTTTTTAAAAAAAACTTTGAATGAAATCGTGCAATTCTAAAGTTGTTGACCCTTTTAAAAAAAA